GAGTCATAATATTCCTTTGTTTATGTTTTAGAAATTGGTTATAAAATCCACTCCATGCTTGTGTTATTCCCATTAATAGTGTAGAGTGCAAATGAAAACACATTGAAAGCAATCTTTAAAATGAAGAGACTTGAACTCATGCTTATTCTCTCAAATTAGGCTGCTCCTGAGTACCAACCAGAAAAGATCTAGCCTAAAGAAATGCAATCTCTGCAGCTTTTATTTTCTTTCTCTCCTTCTTCCCCCTTTCCTCTTGTCTGGCTCAGCTCCTAAGAGCCAAACCGTGGATTTGTTGTCAGCCACAAACCTCACAGATGGCCTTTGGTGCGGAGCATCTGGGCAGGCTCCCCTCCCTGATCCAGGAGTCCTGGCTGGACCGGTGGTTAGCCACACCAGCGCTTTCACCTGCCTGTCTGCTGAAGTCTCACCAGACTTTAAGCGGCTCTAAATAAGCGGTAACATCAAACCACACAGTCAATAGTACTGGACAGCCAGGAGGTAGGGAGCATGTATTTAACCCCTGCATATGTGCATGTGCTTGTGTGTGTGTGTGTGCGCGCACGCGCGTGTGTATTTATGTATGTTGCCTGTTGCACTTGCACAAAATTCACAAGAATACAGCTCCTCTATTTTTTTTATTTTAATAAAGTTCTTATTCACCTTCAACCTAACATATCACTCTAGTTTGGGCACCTTGTTATTTGTACCTGGATGAGTGGTATTTGTAATTCTTCAAGAGGAACTTTTCATGCCAAATGGTGTGCTGGGTCACTGGCAATGTGATAATTGTTTTTAACCTGTGATGTTATTTGACTTTAGACATTGTTTGCATCCAGTGCTTTGATTTTAATGCGGCAGATTTACCAACCCAACCAGTCTATAGCAAGAGCAGCGGTGACACTATTTAGATGCGACTGGTCAGTACACTGTTGCTTACTTACTTCTGTGGGCAATGCATTGTATGTCTTCCAGACTAAATTTAGATTTTATGCTCCAGAGTAAATACTAATTAGCCAGCATGGTCACGCAACATGTTGAGATTTTATTTTTTTAGAAGTGAGGACAGGTTTTATGTACTTTATACATACAGTATACATAAACAGGTTCTTTGAGAGGCTCACTATATTTTACCACAGAGAGGATTTGATTCAGTTACTAAAGTTATCTTCCGTCATTCATTTTCATCAGTTACATCATTTTTCTTTCCAACACATTCAAAGCTCTTTTTACATAATAATTTGGTCTTGCTGAACTTTACGGCAGTAGACTTTTGACACCACTCAGCTGCTCTGTCATGCAGACTAAGTGATAAAAAATAATGCATTTATGCAATTTCACTTTTTAAGCTCAGTCACAGTGAACATGTTTAAATTCTCAGAGTTTTTGAGGGGGCTGCAAGCAGGAAATATGTTGTGTTATTTGGAGTAAAAGAGGATATAATGTTACTATGACTATATGTATGCACAGTATGTTTAAATTATGTGTATGATATTTTCATGACACATGGACCTTCCTTTTTTCATTTCACTTCATTTGAAGTTTCGCCTCACAGTGTAATTTGTATTTTAGCAATGGAGCTCATTTGTTTAGTTATTTACAGTCTTAAATGGGCTCTTAGCACATGATCTCAAAATTAGGATTTACCAAACTTATCCAAATGTAGGTAAAAATGTGCAAATATTGTAAAGTGGTTCCTTTCTTTGACAGTTTAATTCACTTCCTACTGGTATACACTGATTCGCGATATATTTTAATTGTCATTTCAATGATAAATGATCAACCAGCTATTTAGTTTCAAACTCTAATTGTTGAATTCTATTTATCTTTTACTTGCACTAGTTTTTTTGTAATTAGCATGTCAAATGGGCCTTTCTTTTGTGCTGTGGTGCATCAGCTGAACTTTAACCCACCCTGCACAAAGGATTTATTTTAGACCACTTGTGTGATTAAACATGCGCTGTGTTCTTTTTCTTTCTTTTGGGGATTTTATTTATATAAGAGGATGTTAACCAGTGTGCTGTAACGTTCATAAAGGTATTTCACATTTGGAAACACTTGCAATCCATATCAAACAATATGCACATTGGAATCTCGGTTGATAGTATGGTCAGAAATTATTTACCATCACTGTGGATGTTTTTAACAAACAAGTTTCTTAAATTGAGTTACGTGTCTGTTTGCTCAGACACTTTTAACATCAGCTAAATTTGTCCTTTTGTTTTAGTGGCCACAATTACGACATGTTTTATTTTTATTAGGTTCATCTTCTGTTTAGCTTTTTGTTATTGTTTTTGTCTTTCATTTGCGTGATGCGCCGTTAACTCCACTGTTCTTGGGGGCAGCAAGTTAATTATAGTCTGCATGAAGCTTTCATGCTGCACCTCTACATGCACGTCATTTGTTTGTGAGGGTTGACTTTAACTGTTTAAAATGATCAAAACATTGCATTTTTGGTTGTTGACCCGCTGTTTTGTTTTTTTCCCTTTAACTTGCTTATTAGGCCTTAACATCGATTTCAACGCGATCCCTTCCTCTTATTCACAATTTGTTTTATAAAAAAAAAAAAACGAGCAGGATTTTTTTCACATTTGACACTTTTTTTATTTGGTATTCTTCCACCTCAAACTCATGTGGACGAATATACTTTATATCTCCTAAATTAGTTTAAATGCCAATTAGGCTATATTACGAAAAATGTAGAAGGCGTGCGCAAGATGTAAAGCGGGTGAATCTTGACCTCCATGATGTTATAGACTTCTTAGAGGTAGTTGCAGCTTTATTATAAATGATCTCACAGCAACTAGAGTTTCCTCCTCAGTTCTGGAGATGTGAGCCTCATTTAAATTTAATTTCTATTGACATAGACTGCATGCATTTTTAATAATTTCGCTGGTCAATCTCTCAATGTGACGGTTTCTTATTCCTTTCATCTGTACTGTTTCTGTACCTGTATTTATCATTACATTATTTTTCATGCAATAACGCTGTAATGTCAAACAAATTACAGCTGCAACTAAAAACCATTCATTGTCAAAGATCTTGGTTCTTGGGCCTATATTCATAGTCACATTTGCACTCAAAGTGCAATATAGCAGAGTTCTGCCTTGTCCAAGTTCTGCAAAGCCTACGTTATTTGTGTTGATACAGTAATGGAGAAGCATGTCATTCGGAAGTCCTTCAGAGCTCTCTCTGTAGCTGTGCGTGTGTTTAAAAGAGAGAAAAAGAAAGGTTCCCTATAGCTTACAGACTCAGCAAGACATTCACTCAGCATAACATTTTATGTGAGACTGAGTTCAGTGCCTCGTTTAGCTTCGTTTTCTTTCAAACTTCTTTCTTTTTTCGAACGGTTCAACATCTGCCATAGACGAAAGTTTGGCTTCAGACGTTATTGTCCAGATATCAAAATTTGAGAAACTGTATAGTGTTTATTGTTAGTGTTAACTAATGATGTTCCCACCGTTTCCAGGAAGATGTTGTTAAACAAAGGCTACGAAGCTATTTAGAGGTTGCATTCTCAATATCTTAAAGATACTCAGTAATTAATTTAGATGTTTTCGAATAAAATTTCTACTACAGAAAATAAAGTAATTTTAACTGATACAGACTACTTCCAGCCACTGTTTTTAACACCAGATTCACATGTGCTACTGATTTATCATGACTCTGCTTCTTACATATTGTGAAGTTACCTGTCATATCTACTGAAGAAGTGTTGATATTGGCAGCTTGCTAACGGACAAACGCATGAATGACGGGGAAATCCATGGGCGCGTGCGTAATGAGATATCAGCCTAAAATGCAAATGAGACGTTTTGGTGCGCACGCTGCAAAAAATGCCACCTTTAGCAACTCGTATTCTGTCTCTAAAATCAAATACTATGCATTACAGTTGTGTTAAGTCTGTTGTTTCCAGTGTTTTTGCTTGTTTCAGGGGGAACAGCCAGGCAGAGTTAAGCTCCATCCATTGGAATTACAGTTTAAGAACAACACTTTGGTCAAATGGTCAAATGTCAAACTGCAGCGCCGTCGAGACTGATTTCGACTTTTTCAACATGTAGATGCAAAACTGAAAAGTGGCTATTTTTGGCAGCGCGTGGTTTAGTGTCTCTGCACTTTCACCATAAGGTCAGCTAAATACGCCTCATGTCTAACCAGGCATGGTCAGTGCAAACATGACTCTATGCAGTTTGATCTCATAATCTGGCGGTTTGTTATAATCTTTATATGTCCGAATCTGAGGTTTAGTGTCATGTGAAACGTCCGCGGTGTGCAGACTAAATTTGTGTGAAGCTACAGGCCTAAACATAGCCTACGCTGACTGCCCCAGGTTTATGGGTTTTGTTTTGTTTTCTGTGGAGACATTTGCGTCTTTTTAGCCTTAAGTGGAAACAGTTATGTATCTTGCTCTGCGGGGATAATGGGATAGTATAAGGTCATTCATAACATTCTGTTAACATAGCAAACAAGCAGCTTGAGAAAACGGATTGTTAGCTGGCATTGTTAATTGCCCAGTCACTAATAGAAACACAGGCAAAATCTTATGGTCGGTTGATCAATTTATCGTAATCATTCCTTCAAACATAAGCAGAGACATGTTGACCTCCACTATCTGATGGTGCAGCTCTCAAATTTAAATTATGTTTAATTAAATTGATCCCCACATTATCTGGAGGCTAAAAGAGGGAGAGGACGATGTTGCGCGTAATGGCGCATGCAGCAGCAAATATCAAATGGATTCCTTTCACCAGACTGGGATTAAGGAGAGAAACCGGGGTGGGGGCCTGGAAGGAATTATTATTTGGGGTATAAACCAAAGCTATTCCTGCGCAGACTGCTCCCCCATCACCCTCCACCCCCCCTGATCTAAGTCGCGGACTCAGCTTCCGCTTCGCTCGGCTGGTCATTGATGCACCCTGAAGGGTTGGAGAGGGAGCGCGCGAGAGAGAGAGAGAGGGGGGGGAGACGTAGAATTGACAAGGCTAGAGACTGGGAGAGAGAGGAGGGAAGAAGGAGGTGACGGACCTGCTCCTCGGGGACTCGGCTACAGCTTACTGCTAGGTGCTATCAGCAGGGTCGGCTCACAAAACGGTCTTCGGCTGTAAAATGCACAATACGGCACCGAGCAGCGCCTCGTAGCTGCCACCCAACTCCGCGCGGATCTCCACGGTCGCGGCTCCACTCTTTAGAAGAATCTGGACTAACTGTGAGAGGGGAAAGGATTCATGGAGATTCCGTGCAGCCTCATCGCGCAAAACGCTTGGATTATCTGATTTGGGACGGGGACTTGGACATTTTAAAGTCGAGACGGTGCTCCTCTGTTGTGCCACCGCCGTGCCATAGCCTACGACGTGTTGTTTTTGTTGTTTTTAGGTAAGCTGATACTGCTCTGATTCGGCTATGTGTGTATTCATTGTGTTTGCAATTCATAGCGGTTTACATCGTAGCAGGCTAGGGGCTACTCTACCTTGCAGGAATAACGGACACCGTCTGAGAGTAGAGGATTGCTTTTTTAGGAGGGTTTATTGTGTTCTGGACATCAACACGTCGCGATATAACAATAAAAGGTCATGTCTTTTGTTTGGGGAACTGTATAAGGAAATAGTGTTTCCTAAAAGCGAGGGCTGCTTCAATGTGCAGCCTCATTCTCCTAAAATAAGTTAGTCACATTTATAATGTTGGGAGTACTCTAGACAGTACAATTCCCTCTTAATTAATAATAACCTAAATAGTTAATGACTGAGAATCTTCACAGACATCTAAATAGTTAATAGCCTAAAATAAACTATATTTCTGACAAGCATATTGAAACAAGCTATCAAACTTTATTAAACCCAAAGCTTCTTTGAACAATATAATAAAGCAATGTTCCGATTATTATGCTGTTACTTTGAAAGCCTTCAGTTTTAAACTAAGATGATATGTTAATATGTTCCTTTTAAGTAGATTGTTTTTTAATGCTGACACCAATTAGCTGTAGTTATTAGCCTGTGTAGCACACGGCACTTCCGAAAATGTGTAACTTTGTGGTCACTACAGTGACAAAATGATGTTCATCTGTGTCTGCGTGTGTAACTTATTCGAATCAGTCCCTAACAGTGTTAAAAAGGAGGTCTAGCCCCACACACTGACATCTCTGTTTGGGTCTTTCAGCTGGGACAGTAGTTTTCGGAGCTGCGGTCATGGCGGACCAAGAGGAGACTTTTACCCTTCAAAACTCTCCCGGTGGTTCGGATTCAAGGGAATTACAGAGCGATAATAAATCAGAGAAACAAAACGGGACCTCGAGCAAATCCCCATCATCACAGACAACTTACATTCAGCAGGTCAGTATCAGTCAGGCTGTATAGGCCTCACTCTCACTACTTAAGGCTACAAGCCGAAGCTGTTTCCACGGACTTATGGGGTCACATTCACTTTTTTTAAAAAAGCATTTCTATATATTCGTCTGAACATATAGCCTACTGCACGTCGTTTTGGTTGTTAAATACTACACAAAATCCTAAAGGAAATGTATGCCAATGGCATGGAGTAATTCTACCCACTTTTTTATTAGTATCTAGTATATATTTATTCATAAGCATTTCTTTATATATATATATATATATAAGCATAATAAGCATATTACTTTTTATCTGATATTTAGTCTCTTTTCTTTGTCATGCTGGGTTGCTCAAAGAAACTGACTGAGGAAATGTATTTGATAGGTGAAACCATCAGTAAAGTTTCAAAGCAATTTTCACTTGTTTTTAGACCAGATTTTTTTGCTGAATAAGAGACAATACTGATAAATTCTGTATTCTGTAGTATATTAAGCGTCAGACATTAACTCTTTTTAACTTATTATACAGTATATTGTTGGTAGTTTAAACGTGCATGCTAAAGGCCCAACATGTTTAACACCACAGAATGTCAATGTGAGTACACCCACATCTTGAAGGGTTACATTTTCATGACATTATTGTTACATGCCCTACGTTATTTATTGTTTTGACTTGAGTGTACAACAACTCAGTTGTCCAACAGCATGTTTCTTGAAATGTTAAATTAATATTTTACTTCAAACCACTGTTGTATAATAAGCTAATAAGCAGGGTTTATTGTTTCCCTTTGGCAGCTGAAAAAAATGCTTTTGACAAAAGGCCATTAGACCAACTCAGAAGGCTTCAAAACCATGTCATGAGCTTGATACCTCTGCGTAAAAGTCAGGTCTATTACGGCCATGCTGTGAGCACTATGGACACTAAGATGCGTTATTTTGAAGGGAATGGAGGGGATAAAAGTCTACCTGCACGAGAGGGAACTCTGGGCAAAGTTTCACGAGGTGGGGACAGAGATGATCATCACCAAAGCCGGAAGGTAAGAGGACTACCTATAAAAACATGAATCATTATTATGACAGGAAAGCGCTAATCAGAACAAGTGGAATTAATGACTGCATGGCTGCTTGTTGATAAGGCCACCCACGCAATTATTTAATATGAATTTTATCTAGGGCTATAACTTAAATGTATAGGCCCGGATGGAGTTTTTTTCTTGCGTGGGAATTTGGAAATATGCACCATGAGGAACTACAGAGCATTTGGTGGACGCTTTAGCGCTCTGCAACATCGGGTTGGCAACACCACGAGTGCACATCCTACATTTTAGTCTGGGTGGCCCTTGGGGAAATGCAATACCATCGACTAATCAGCCTGAGAGAGCAAAAAACTGTCCTCTATTTCTTAAAATCCATTGAAATAAACTCATTTAGGAGCGCATGTTCTGCCATTTGCAATATTCTCTCTGTATTTGCTGTATATTTGTATGTGTAATTGTACACAGACACGTCTTGCACGAGTTTAATCTTGCATATATGCATGACTGCCGCTGGTGTCTGCTCATGTCAAAGTGGCCTGTGCCTCAGATGTGTGGGTATTGTAAATGATTAAGTATTTATAAGTGAACACAACTACATTTCATCGTGCTCTCCAGTGCGGGTAGAAGACATTTCTCTGTTCTCTCACAGCTGCATAAAGTCTCCATTATATTCCCGTCAGTCATTTCACTCCTGTTTTTTGGCATGAACTGATATTACACAGCATCCCCCTCATCCTCGGCCCTTCCCTTTGACTCGCGAGACTGCTTAGCCTTACTCACATTATGTGTTTTTTTACAGTATGACAGCTACCAAATATCCAAATGATTTACTAAACGGAAATCTGGCCCATGGTGAAAAACTTTTTTACAATGCGCAGGTCGCTCTCGGGCCCAACGCCCTGCCCTGAAAGTAGTCTTCACCTCTCCAAACCAAATAAAGACATCTATTTTGACATTTTAAACCACCCCACGTGAGCTGACTGTAAGCGTGCGTCTATAATTTAGTTTAGTGTGCAAATTAGAATCATGCAAGTTTTTTTTCAGAATATATTTGTGTTCATTCACAATTTTGTAAAAGTTTGTTAGGGATGCTTGTACCCACTGAACGTTGGAAAATGGCTAAATTGGATATGAATTTGAGTGATTTCTTCTACAGATGAGAAAACCATGAAAACACACCACGGTCTATTTTTGCCTGTAGTTTTTTTTTTTTTTTTTCCAGTTTGACAGAAATACCATATAGCGCTATAAACTGTGTTTTGTCCTTTACAGGCGAATGTTCCCCAGCTTCAAAGTGAAGGTCACGGGATTAAACCCCAAAACTAAATATATTCTCCTGATGGATGTTGTTCCTGCAGACGACCATCGATACAAGTTCGCCGATAATAAATGGTATGTAAAACATAACACAAAACACATTCTTAAGAACTTTTCCTTGCAGAAACAAACTCTTCTTAAATTTTACACATAGGACATTTCACAATAATGGGGGTCATTGATTTGGTGGTCTCAGCTTCTCTCTCTAGAGTTTACTCCAACAGGAAATTTTATATCGTTGTCCTGATTGAAGAGAGTCGAAAGAGAACATATTAATTCCCGAGAATAATGAATTCTGTATTTTATAATACTTGCCAAGAAATGCATTCAAGTGGGAGAAGTGTTTCTGTCGCAGCTGACATTTCGGTGTTGAATGAATGGTTAGGACTTTTCCTATAGCAACACCCTATAGTTATACCAGCCTGTATGTGGATTGTAACAAGGCTGTATTTCACAGTGGGGCATAAACACGATTATTTGTTTAGTGTCAAGTCGATCTCTAACCTTGGCCAGGACTGCCTTGTTTGGGTCAGCGCCTTTCAATTAGAGGATAGGCTACTCAAAGAGGATAATCACATGCCAATACTGCCGATAATGACCTGTCCAAAGCATGTCCTGGAACTAATTCTTCTCTTGATCTAACTATGTTGGAAAACAATGTCTACCAGCTGTAATCTGACCTCTGACCAGCCAAAATCAACTTCCCAAAGTATTATACACGATGACGCTGTAGGTCACTTTTTGGGGGGCCAAGACGTAAATGTCCGATCGACTGAGAATCTTAGATTTTCCTTTAAATAATATGCATTCATTTCAGCTATCTCTCTAATTTATATATTTTGATAATGAAATAGCCTGCAGATGTTTGTCTTACAGTGTGCAACGAGGACACGTCCACCTACATTAGCGCCTGTATAGCAGATAGCTGGCATATGGGTGTCAGTCCGAGGTGTTACAGTGTGACTGTATTGCATTAATTCAGGTCTGTGACCGGGAAGGCAGAGCCCGCCATGCCCGGCAGGCTATACGTTCACCCGGACTCTCCCGCCACTGGGGCGCACTGGATGAGGCAGCTCGTGTCCTTCCAGAAGCTGAAACTGACCAACAACCACCTGGACCCGTTCGGACACGTAGGTGCCTAGGCCTATCATCTATACTATTTAACCACATATCTGTGTGTCTGTGACTGCTTTAATAACCTGCTGCTGCACTGATCAAAGTCCGGGACATCTAGCAGGGAGGGGTGTTGCTGAAACGCATGTCGTCCCTTTCTACTTACGGAGGCCTATAGGCCACTTTTTACTTTTTACAAAATAAGTGCTGTTTTCCACAGCTGGCCCTTGACTAGTGATTGTCTTTTGTATGAAAATCACCAGATAAATCGGACACAATCGATGAAATTAGACTCACACAAAGCGGGATTTCTGACAAAGGATAGGGTGTGACTGTTTCCTAAGAATTATTGTTGTTGTTGTTGTTGTTGTTGTCTACAAAAAGTTCTTTGTTTATTATTTGAATTGATTAAAATTTTACACAGCTATTTAATTTAAAGGTCATCATTTAAAAAAGAAAAAAAAATACAGCTTCAATCCCCCCTACTTGCTTGTAAAAAACTGTGATTTGCATGATTAGGCATCATTAAGGTTGAATGGTGTTTGTTAAATTTACTTAATTTAATACTTAACTTTACTTTAATACACTTCTCCAGCATTAGGCCCCATAAACTCACTGACCTTGTGTAGTTTTGGTTGTGCTTAACAGTTCTATTTATTCATTGGAGACACTTTGAATATAATAAAATAGCATATTCTGTGGTAATATGAAATTACAGGCAGTTCATATATTTTTGCTACTTTCTTTTTTTAAGTTTTTGTTCTTTCAAATGTTTCCTTAAAACCTCCTTTAGTTTAAATTTTTAGTGATACAAAAACTATGCAAAAAGAATTATGTCTTTGCAATACAGTGCACATTGGCCGAAGAAAGAAGGTGTGTGTATATACATGCACAAAGATGATGCTGTTACAAAGTTAATTTTTTTTTACTGCTAATGATAGTTTTAAGTGTTTAATTCAGCCAGGCTGAAGGCCTAATTTTGTAAAAATATCATCATTTTTCTTTTTACTGTCAGGCAAAAGTAATTATTTTTATTAATTTCATAAAAACCATTAAATCTAAATAAGACATGTTAAAAGGACCGGATATTGGATTTCCTGCAACAAAAAATTTAAAGAAATTTTTAATTCAAATAATTCCTGATGTCCTTTTGAAAAACAAGAAAAAGGGAGGTGACTTTGCTGCACAAACAGTTAACATTTAAAACTGTAATTGCCCTATGGGGATAAATTAAGTTGAATTTGTGAATTGAAGTTGTGAATTTAATTTAATTGAGTTTAAGAGAAAAACATGAATAAATTGACAATGTGAATTTACATTTTAGATACTTTAAATATATAACTTTCTCCTTAGAATGCAATTTACCAGTCGTCATAATGAAATCAATGCAATACAGTAATGTTCTGATGAGTCTGTGAAACCTCAATTTCTGATTCTGATTTTCAATGATGAAAATCCTTTAAATGTTTTCACCCTGCTATCAGTGATGGTAAAGTAAAATAACACGTTTGTTTCCAGCATCCTGGACCCTCTTTGGTACTTTTTGTTGCCCATGTTTATTATAGCACCCCCTAGATGTATTAAAGTTGTAGACCTCCTGGAAGTCAGCTTGCATAAGTAGAGGGGAGCAGTTGGGCACTTTTTAACTAAACGGAAAGAGGCAATTGCACCCCCACCCACCGCCTCCCTCACCAGTGCGGGACTGTATGGTACCCATTTCCTAACTTTAACTCCTCATTATTCTACACTGCCTATCTGGCCCCAGGCTTTGTGATTCCTGTCTTACCCAAAACAGAAAACATCACTTACTTCATCAACAAATGGGCCTGTTGGCGGCAGGTTTTCATAAAATTTGATGGGCACATTGTGGCCAAATTAGATGTCTTGTTGTAGAAACGGAATAGACACACAATTAGCTTTCTTACTAATAGGCCCAGTCATTAAAGGAAAACACAATAATGAGGTTGGCAAAAGGTACACGAATAGCTGTGTGGTTTTTAAGGAGATTGGTTAAGACTGAGGAAAAATGAAAATTAATGCTAATGTTAATTAGATGTGTTAAACTGAATAAGGTTCAAATTGATTAATATATGTCATTAGGAGGCGGTACTAAAATGTGTCTTGTTATTATGTTATAGTGATAATGTTTAAATTTATTCCAATCATCAAGGCCACAGAATGCAGATTGACAATTATTTACATAGCTGGAGGTATTCAGTGTAATGGGGAATCTAAAATGAGTCTTGTTAGACATTCACATTTACCAAAGCAAAAAAGGAATATACATTTCCACACACACAAGCCACTATCCATCCACATGGCACCTCAATGGATTGTTGCCAAAGCCGAGTTGGTGAAATGACACTGGAGCTCAGTCGGAATATGAGCAGTGTTGTAAATTTTGGGTTAAAGAACATTTCTGATTGGTTGCAGTGGTTCTTGGCTCACCCTCTTTTGTGCATGGGAGACAGCACCCTGGGATTCATAAATGAAACTCTGGTGGCTGGCCAGAAAATATATTCCATCAGCTTGTTGGTCCAGCTGGTAGAAATAACTTGTAGATGATTTATAATTACTAGCAGTGAGACACGAGGCCAATGTTGCTGGTAGATTGGACCAATTTAAGATGGGCCTGAAACAGTCATTTTTCTCTAAAAAAATGTCTGGTAATTAGGCACACGTCAGCGGACTGAGCAGGGCTGAGTTCACCAGCTCAGAGTTGTTGTAAAGGAGTCTGATAGAATTTAAGCCTCATGGAGCCTGGGTGTTTGTATAGAGTTAATCGTGTAGCTTTGATTTTTATTCAAATTGTATACATTTCAACAGTACAGAGGTATATGTGTAATGTCAGAAACATAAAAGAAAAATGCTGCCAGAAGTTTTAAGTAACATAATGTTAGTTTTGAACAGGATAGTTTCTTTTATTTTTATTGATATTTTCAGGCAGAAGGAGTGGATTATCGCTTGGACGACACATGTAATGGATTACATCTGACATTTATGTCAGTTTTTCCAGTATTTTACATATTGATCATAACTTAGTCTTTGGGGAAGGGTCAATTTCACCAGTTTATTTTGTTGACACTTGCAGTCAAGGATTTTGTGTTTTGAATATGGTTTCATGGTGAAAATAGATTTGATTACCATCGTAAACATGCATGTCAATAAAACACAAGTATTTTTTGAAAGTATCTAATTACATTTACTCAACCACCGTACTTAAATACGTTTGTGAGATATTTGTTCCTGTTTACATATATATATAAATCCACTACATTTATTGGGCAGCTACAGTATAGTTAGTAGTTATTTCACACAGCTACTGCCATTCCTTCACTCTGGGGGAGGGCCCAGCCTCTGCTCAACAAAATCATGACTGGTTTGCTGTCCTGGCTCCACATGGTGAAAGGAGTTCCCTATTGACATCAGGACAACAGATACTCTACACATCTTCTGTCACAGACTAAAAACTCATCTGGTCAGAACGCACCTTGGCCTATAAAAAATACTTGTTCTCTATCTATTATTGTTTCTAAATGTAGCACTTGAAGCAGTTCAGTGTATTTGATGAAGTTGATGTACTTGTAATTTTGGGATACATCCACATGGTTCAATGCATTTATTGTTAGTCACTTTGGATAAAAGCATCAGGTAAAATGAAATGTTCACAAGGAACATCCTACTTTACTAAAGTTAATTCAAATTAGTTTCACTCTGCTTACAGAATGCATCACTTATAATAATCCATTAGTCAGTAGTATATGCTACACAATACGCTGTAAGGGTGTATTCTTTATTAAAAATACTTTTTTGACACAAGTTTATTTTGAAGTTAATTCGTCTGTACTTTTACTAAAGTAAAACTTTAAATGCAGTGTTTTCACTTCTAACAAAGTATCTTTATATCAGTAAAGGTTGTAAATACGTCTTAAACCACTGCACAACAGCGCTACTTTGGATTCACTGTTAGTTAAGCGAATAAATTGGTGTTGTTCCTAAAAATCATTTGTTTTTGTGTCAGGTTTCATACAAAACTGCAACTATTGCGTTGCTCTCCCTAACAACTCACAGAATATTTTTCAGGGTTACTCATCCCCCCCCCCTCAATTTGCTCTGCACTCGTCTCCCCATCTTCCCACACATGTTTTGGCCGGGAGGGTGGAGTGTGAGGATCGCACTGTTTATATTTCAATGGCAGTGTGCGATGAGCAATAGATGATGGTGTACAAAGCCTGCTAATCCTGAGGCTCGGGGAAACTCTCTGATGTGGTGGAACTTGAAAGCAAAGGGCAGCAGCTCGAGACCCAAAGTGATCCCTCACTATCATTAAATACTATCATCCAGAGGCTGGGGTGGTGTGGGGGAGGGGGTGGTCAGAGATACAGGGACCCAGGCAGGGCAGCGGCTGGGCCGGGGAGACGAGTCGTGTGCTGGGGCCCCAGTGGGTGGTCTATAGCTACACCCCCCCCCCCCCCAAACTAACACACACACTGGACTCAGGAACCCACAGTCAGTGGACCATACTATTATTTTCCAGGGTAAATGAGTGTTTAGATATTTCCATGCAACTTCTAATGTACCTCAGTGGCAGACATTTTTAGCTTCTAAAACCAGAAGAGAGTAGAGTGGTAAATGACGTGTTTGCAGTGATGGGCTTGTTGTTGTGGTTTTTCCTCAATCTTGGATGTATCTCTGCAGACCCCAAGTAAGCCATTAATGAATATGTGCATGGGAAAATGCTTTGTTTAACCTACTTTTTCTCTGCACTGTGTTCAAAAAGTTTTAAAAAATCTCTTTCATAGAACGTTAAAGCCTCACTTATGAATCCCCGCAGAATGGTAGCGCTGCTGTACATGACTTTTCAGCACAGGAACAACTACAATCCCACACATAAATATGGAAATTAAAACAGCCATGGAATACAACCGCAAGACTTAATTTTTCTCCGCCTGAGACTCTGTTTTGTTAAAACTATTCTCACCTCAGATCCAAGTATGCAGCCTCCAAACCCTTTCCTGCAAATAGTTTTATTTGATCGTAAATTTGCAAAAGCTGAGTTTCCATCTGCACACACACTCTTCAACAGCCTGCTTATCTACCCAAAGTGATACACTCAACTGATGTTTTCTGCACAGGGTCAGTAACGTACATTAAATCATCCTGCATCTACAACGTGCACGACAGGAAGTTGACACACATTTAGCCAGTTTGTGCCCATTACAGAAACCTATTGCACCATGAAACCTATTGCACCATAAAGTTCAACTGGAAATTGATAATGGATGACTTTTGTATCATCTATGCGAACGTTATGGTTCACTGGGCTCTAAGAAAGGACTTGGGGTTGTGTCTGTTTAATGCTACAGGATGCCCCCATGTGTACTGGAGGTCAGGGCGATCCCTTGTCTCTCCTAATGCTGGCAGTGAAAGGCAGGTACAAAAACAACCTTTAAGATAACAGATTGGAGGGATGCCTATGGGACAGAAAGGTGGGGGTGGGTGAGTGTAAAAAGGAGGTGGAGAAGAAAACCTCAGTTTTATTATCTTTAAGTGTAAGTGGATCTGATGAAAATAAAAACCATTAGATTTCCTCCAGGCTGATGACCATGACTGCCTGGTCTGTCAAAACAATTAGACTTAAGACCCAGGGATGCCTCAAAAGAGAAGTTCAAGGCTCAAGTTCAGCTGTGTGCACCCCGTCTTAACGTCGCCAAGCTAGCCATTGGTAGTACTCATCACTTACCACAAACTAGGTTAGTCAGGTTAGAATTGCAACAAGAGAGATGACATGTTTATGTCGGCGTTACTACTGGGACACCTGCAATTGTTGTAATAGTGAATTAGCTGTCTGCAAAGATAAAGCTGTTGTTTCAGTTTTGACTGATACTTGTCATATTAGTTGTTATACTACAAGAACAAAATAAGAGTGCACTTCGTCCAGTTTAGTTTTAAATATTCATGCAAGCAGTAAAACAATCATTCGATAATGTAGTGCAATAAAATGTTTATCTTTAGTCCAGTCTTTTGTCCAAAATATGTAGTTGTGCATTTTTTGACTGAAAAGGTTCAGCATAGTTCAATGTAGTTTCTGTGAAATTAATGAGGTATAGCCTATTGCCTTAACCATAGTAACTCCCAAGCCTTTTCTTGTTAGTTTTTTTCTCTCTAATTTATACACAAAAAATGCAAAATATCTCTCACATTTCTAAGTTGAATGACTCCCCCTTCAATCTATCCCCTTTTACCTGTCATTATGCTCACCAATGTATTGTGTATGTTTGCATTTTGGTACTTTTTATAAAGTGTTAAAGTCTGAAATGCATTGCAGAATGGTAAGCATTCTTAGCCTATGGGCTTTGTAACAGCATCTGTAGATCTCAAATGCAAATGTTGAAAATATGGTAGCTGGGCAATAACAACCATATCCTCCAAAGCAACAAATATGGTGCATGCTGCCAAAAACGGATTTGAGGGGAAATTTAAGAGGGTTTCGCTTCACTTTTTGTCATGAATACCTCTCTATCTCTTGCAAGTTTAAATTTTTCGAAAGGGCCATTTAGCAGACGTTGCTGTAATAACAATCAAGTAGGGCCTATCTAACACTTCACCTTTTCTTTTCTAGATCATCCTAAATTCGATGCACAAGTATCAACCGAGGATCCACATTGTAAAGGCAGATGAAAATAACGGCTTTGGCTCCAAAAACACGGCCTTCTGCACTCACGTCTTCCCCGAGACAGCCTTCATTGCGGTTACGTCCTATCAGAACCATAAGGTAAGTCCTTCAAGAGCAACGTTTGGATTTTGTTTTTTATGGCAGTCTCTGACATAGCAAATGGGCAACTTTAAATTCAAGGAGCATTTTATGAGGCGATTTCATTTTAACAATGGTTTAGGCCTAAACGTGGCAAACAAAAGAACCACAAATTGCATTATTCAAACTTTTGCCAAAGGCCGAATTATGGAAAGTTATTAATACATTTCCCTGTACCTTTTTAGAGAAAATTTAGGCCATTATACACATACAGGAGTTCTATTAAATTGTGCCCATTTTTCTACGGAACTGCTGATGGCAAACTTGATCTGCTGATTGCAGGAGGAGAGAAAACGAAAGGCATGGTTGTATGAGGTTAAAGAATGTCAACTGAAAATATCTGATATCACAGGGAGTGACTGACAGACGAAGGAAAACTTCAGATACCCGACTAGACGAGGTCTGACTTCAAGAGACTTTTTCCAAGTTACAGGCCTACAGCTCTTTGTAGAGTGAGACAACCTGCAGATAAACCGGATAAACCTCTGGCTACCTTCTAAAACCTACTAATTGTACAAACACAAACTGCGGATAATATAATAACAACAATAATATAAATCATAATTATACGTTTAGGTCGTTATATAGTAGCCTACATACTGTATTGTAATTTAGGTCTAAATAATAGTTCGCTTTGCAACCTAGTTTATTAGCGAACCTCTGCTACTTTTTGAACACAGTTTATAGCCTATAGGCGCAGGCTATTATTATTTTGTTAAAATGACAATGTGGTTGTTTTTATTAAATCACAGAAAAAAACACTGCGGGTACCTTGATTACCAGATTACCAGATTATCTCGAGGCTATTATAGCCTATGTAGCATTCGACTTTAGGGCTTTGCGTGTTGGTGACTGTTTACAAAAAGGAAATGTTGCTTAAATTGATTGTAGATGTTCACTTTTATTTTCTTCCTGAGCTTTCGTTTAGTTTCTTGAAGTCAGCTGACGGTGCAATTACTTGTAGCCTAATCTTAATAAATAGTAAATTAAAATTGTTAACTGTTATTGCTTACTTAAATGTGTAAAAACTGTTTATTTTTCACACAATAATTTAGAAAAGGGAAAGCTATAATAACATTAAATTAGAGTTAGGCCTAATTTAATATGTAATTTCTTGAGGCCAGGCAGCCTTAGGGTTGTTTATCACTTTAGTTACACTTGTTAAGACTCGGGAAAGAAGCGAAAATAAAACTCAATATTTACTCTGCACAAATTTCGGGTGGAAAATCTTGGGAATACAGATATGTGTAAACAGCGTCTGGTTAACATCATTTAACCATGAAGGCCTATATGTCTTTAGTTTGGGGAATATGGGAGAGGGGGGCGAAAGCTCATAATGTCCATGCAGCCAGTCCCAGGTCTCCACACTTCTGGGAACAGGAAGCACACATGACCGACGTGCTGTAGGAACCATTCATTATTTTCCAACATCTTATTGGGGGCTGAGATCGTAACCCTGGGCTAATTATTGGGGCTTTCCAGACCTACAGAAAAACAAGCATTTGTGATTTCCAGGGGCTTTACCACAACTGACTAATCAAACAGTTCTAACATCTGCCAAAGCAATATGTGCTGCAGGCATGTGTCCAATTCACCTGTTAGACTCTCAGCTAATGAAAATGGTCTTTGGTTTCAAGTCTTTCCTGTTGTAATTAAAACAGTTTAGGTGTTTTCTAAAATAATGTTTTCTTGAAGAATAAAAAGTGAAGAATTGAATTTTAAGTACTTCACTTCTTTAAGCTAAAATAGCCAGAAGCATCTGGAAATATGTTTATATAGGCCTCCATTATTTTAATGAGCATAGTTTGGATACAGTCTAGTAAAACTGTGCAGTCTTTGAAGTTGTAAATTTATTTTGCCCAATTGTCTTGAGTCTGCTCCGAAATTATTTTTTAACAGTATTCATATTCTCTGCTCTGATTACTCTGAGCCCAGTCAGTAGGAGAACTCACATGTATTTGCAATTTTCTTTTTCTTTAAACACTTTTTGGAAAGGGTAATTATTTGTCGAAACGCCTTAAAAAGAGTTCAACAGGACCCTGAACTTTTTATTCCAAACAAAAAATTAAAATGAAACAATATATAGATGCTGTGCCAGGCTGCATGCATTAACAAGAAGCTAGCAAAGTGTCACACGAGATATTTTACAAGGCTTGGTGGAAGTGTCAGCCAGCATGCAGACAAACCTCCAGTCTTGTCAGAAAGCTGGAAGCACACAAGAGCTGCCAACTAATTACCTGCCAGAAACCACTGCTCATGAGAGGGATATCCCTGGATTGTTTTTAACCTCTTTGGGATTAATCTACTACTTTGGGATGGTTCTCTGTGCTTTTTTTGGGGGGGGTTTGATCTTTACAAAGACATTTTTACCAAAACATAAAGTCATATAATAAATCATTTTATTTGCATCTGTCAAGCATGTCCCAACAATCTGTTAAGCCAGAGACCATCAAATCTAACATTATAAATTATGCAATAAAATATGTCTTATTGAGACATGCTTTTACTGAACTGTTTAGCTGAGGATCCCTAAAAGCATCTTAATTTCTGGAAATGTGATCTATTGTTTCATTCTCTTGAGTAACTTGTGAGCATTTAGATGCATCCAAAAAAAAACTTCAAAACTCAGCTAAAACATGTTATAATACTGTCATCATATGAACGTCAAGCGGAAAAAGACTTGTCAATTCTGAAAGTAAAACAAATACTGAAATCTCGCATTTTCTGCAAAGTCTTGATTTACATAGTTCCTATTTTTCGGACAAAAACATGAAAGCACATGTGTGTTGATTTTAATTTGGTGCCATGTGACTTTTTAAAACACTACATAGTTGAAGATCTTGTAATCAAGTGGCACAGCCAGCACAACAAATGGCTTTTGTTCCACAATATGTTACTTATTAAGTGTTTTGTTGTTTCAGATAACCCAGCTGAAGATTGAGAACAATCCGTTTGCAAAAGGCTTTCGTGGGAGTGATGACATGGAACTGCACCGGATGTCCAGAATGCAAAGGTAGCTATAGAAAAGGTTTCATTTTGGAGCACGTGTACATATCTATATGTTATTCATAATCTATTTCTTTCATTGATTCTGGGCTCTGATAAATGGAAACACTGACGAAAACTGAATGATGTCAAATGAGTAGATACATGCTGCAGGGATTACTGACATCCTGGTCACGCTGTCACTTAACAGGCCCCACTTTAATCCTTCAATCATCCAAATGAAAGCCAGTTATGAATGTTATTTTCAGTGAGTGTTATTCTCAGTGATGTAAGTGTAGTTCTTGATCCTCAGCCAGTTTTCTAGTTGAAGACTTTTATGGCTGATCTGGCAGAACCTCTGAAACACAACTGCAACATCTCCCTTCCACACAGCTCTTTCTACCAGGATGTTCCAACTGCTTATGTGTCTCCTGTGTGTGTGTGTGTGTGTGTGTGTGTGTGTGTGTGTGTGTGTGTGTGTGTGTGTGTGTGTGTCAGTGCTTGCATTTGTGTTGAAGTAGTGGTATCGCTTGGTCCAGCAGCCAAGGCAATGCACAACCACATTGCTCCCTCTATTATTCAGTCCAGATGAGGGATGGAGCATTCGTCCATACTGTGTGGAAAACACATTTTCAAAGGAGAAAATCTGGTTTTGAAACTCACAACCTACCCACCCCCATTTGGGCAGCTGATACAGATGTTGTGTGCATTGAAATGTAGATATCAAAACAGGAAAAAAGCTGTTTGGCTTTTCCACAAGGTGCTAAAACCTTAACTCCTTCCCATAACCTTTATTCTGAATCAAGTTCTTTGTAATTAAGCATTTCAGATTAATGCTTTATTCTGGGGAGAGAAATCCCTGGAAATGAGGGGATGGATTTCTGTACTTTCAAATAGCTTTTAAAAATTGCACGCTTGATTGTAACAGACACACATTAAGTTACTTTAAGTAGGTGCATGCTACAATTTAACATGGTGTTTTGAGTGAAATGCATTTCACCTATCAAGACTCGCAAATGTAGAGAGCACCGTGAGAGTCCAAACCACACTATCAATCTTAATTGCCATTGTCCAGTCGTGCAGAGTACAGTAAGCTATGCACGTCTGCTCTTGGTTACATTTTTGAAGGGAGAGCTTATTGCAAAATCAGGTCACTGTTTCAACTGAAATCAAAGGACCAAAAATTGCGAAATGATCTATTGACGGATCTTGTGGATTAATAGGAGGGAAATGCGTGCTGGCATTTTCACTGGAAGAAGTTTACCCCAGAATAGTTTCTCTCTGTATGTCCTAAGTGAGTGTTTTTCTCATGGTCAAGGTCAAAAATTTTTCACTTTCAGAACAGATCTTACAATGAATAGACCTGTCCATAGTGATTTTACATTTGCTGCATATCAGTAATATTTTAGGGGGTCAACAGATGCATATAAGTACTAACAACTGTATTTGTGTGTGTGTGTGTGTGTGTGTGTGTGTGTGCCTGCACATAGTACCAAGGAGTATCCAGTCGTGCCTCGCAGTACAGTGCGCCAGAGAGTGGGCTCTAGCCACAGCCCGTTCAGTGGGGAGGTCCAGGGCATGGCCACCCCGAGCACCCTGAGCTCCCAGTACTCCCAGTGTGAGAACGGTGTGACAAGCACCTCACAGGACATGCTGCCTCAGTCAGGTTCTTACCCCCTGCCACATGAGCACAGCCAGGAGTACCACTGCATCAAGAGGAAAGGTAGGAGACTGATGTATCAGGAAGATGACAGATTGAGTCTTCACAGCAGGCCATATTCATATCCACTGATTTTAATGCTATGGTTCTAATTAGTTGCCTTTGCATGCTGACCCTTGTTAATTAATTGGGAACAAACTTCAAGTGGTACACAAAGAAAAATCTAAATTCAGTAAGAATCACATCAATTTAATGTGTTTACTTAATTGCATTCTTTTATATGGACTTACTTTTTTTTGGATTACTTTTAAGGAACAGCACACATTAATCTAAATTAAATAAAATGTTAATGTGCCTGAATTTGCCACATTCTTATACTATAATCAACTGTAATAAACCAGCATATACAAAGTATAGACAGTGTGTGAAGAAAAGGGCAATAATTGTTCAAGTAAACATGTAAATGTACAATTTGTAAATGAATGAATTTGTTTTGGTGTCACTTAATAAACAGAATTGAAAGATGGGGTTAGTGACACAGAGTAGCTGCAGATTTTTCTACTATTTTACATAACTTAAAGATAACACTTGAGTAACACTGTTCTTTAAATCTATGATTCTACCTTCAGTGGAAGATGACTGTCACTCAGGTGAGCACACCTATAAGAAGGCCTATCTGGAGAGCTCGTCCAGCGAGGAGGACCATTACTATCGTCCTGTTGGCTACGCTCAGAGCCTCGGCCTGGCTGGCGGGCCCTACCGCAGCGAATCCAGCCAGCGGCAGGCCTGTATGTATGCCAGCGCCTCGCAGGGTGCCGAACCTGTTCCTAGTTTGGAGGACATCAGCTGCAACACCTGGGCCAGCGTTTCACCCTATGGGAGTTGCTCCGTCACCACCATGCAGCCAATGGAGCGGCTGCCCTACCAGCACTTCTCTGCTCACTTCACCTCAGGGTCTCTGGTGTCCAGACTTGGCGGAGTTGGGGGCCACGCCTCTCCACAGCTGGGCGATGGCCACCACGCTGCCATGTACCAGAGCTCCATGACCCACCAGACTCTGGGCCGCCAGTGCAGTCCTGGGGCTGGGATCCAGTCACCAACAGCCGGCCTACAGGGAAACGAGTACCTCTATACACACGGCATACCACGTACACTATCGCCACACCAGTACCACACTGTACATAGTGTCAGCATCATGCCAGAGTGGAACGAGAACAGCTAAAAGAGCTTTTTTTCCACACTCAACAGATAACAATATTAAAAGGAAAAAAACAAAAAAGGACCAAATAAGGCAGGGTTTAGATGAATTTATATTTATATTTTTAGAAGATGTGTTGCTGATCATCTTGATGAGATCAGTGTTGGTTCCCTGACAGCAGTGGATATTTGTAAGATTATGTTGAGTAGGAAACCAAGCATCTTATCACTTAATTTTTTGTGACAGCATCTGCACTTACAAGCAACTAACATAAACACAAACAAAGAGGAGCTGGATCGGAACGCACGCAAAGACTGTTCAAGTTCAGAAAGAGAGTGAACAGACCCTGAACAGACGAACAAATGCTTCAGGTGCTTTGCCAGCAGTACCCAGATGAAGGTGTTCTTGTGCGGAGGTGTTTTCTTTTTGGACCTTAATGTTTCAGAGACAAGTTAATATGTTTTCATCTTTTTTAACAAGTACAAAACTCTTGTTTTGTCTTAATGTCCCGAATTTCTGTTTAAAAAAAAGGACATTTGTCTTCTCTCACATTATCCTGCATTTTCTTGAATGTTTTTGTAGTTAACAACTTACTTTGTAGTCAAATTACTATAAGTAAAATAAATGAATAAGCAGATGGGAGCTTTTGTTGTGGCTCTTTGGAGAATTTGCTTGGTCTAAAATCTGTCAGGAGGGCAATTTTTCTATTCCTGTTGCTGGGTATATTGACATGCATGTCAAAAATGTAATCTTAATGCCATTATGAGAAACATGACAAGTAAAAATTGCAAGTAGGACAGCACTTCAATTAAATTGTTTATTGATGCACGGACATTACAGGCAGACACCTTTCCTCGGCTATACACGATTAAGTGTATGAATGTAACCAATGACGTAAACATGAAATTAAAGAATACAGTAATAAGTAAATTTTTAACCTGGACCTTATTTTCCCAGTTTCTGCCATCATGATCCATCAGCTACTTTATACCTATCAGTTTTCAGGGTGCACTGCACTCCAGTTTATTCCATTCAAGTTATGACAACCTCACTCAAAGAACCAATAAATTGTTTCTTTTCAGCCCCATAACACCCACATTGTAATTTGACCTGCCTACATCCAGCTTACCAAGTTACGTATATGTGTATTCACACAAGGACAATAACAGCCATTTACAAAATTGATGAAAATGTTGCTGCCACTTATTCTTGGTGAATATTATATATAGTAATATGTAATATAATATATGGTCATCATGTGACCAGAAACACCACACCAAATTAATGTAAATGTTCCTCTGTGTCTACTGGATGCGTAATTAGGTGCTGGGATGCTAACACATTACAACTTTATAAGGTGATAATATGTCAGGGCTGTGGGTTTGTCACCTTGTTGTGGTGTTCTTCTGCCCCCAAGTGGCAAAAAAAATACATGAATGCGGCTTTAATTATTGTAATTATTTAATCACAGCTGTATAAAGATTAGCAGTTGGAGTGTGACTGTCATTAAGTTGAAACAGCATGTGTTGATCACTGTTTCTGTTTGATTTTGGTTTCACTGCATAGTACTGAGAACAGTGCTACCTGATGGGGAGGCAATTAGCCATTCAGTCAAGACACCGATGGAATTCAGGCCAGAATAGCAGATTTTTAGACAATAAACTTGAGATTTTAAATATACGTCTTGAAGAAATTGATTAATTAAACTGTCACTTTGCTTTGGGTTAACATCATTAATGCTGCAATTAAAGCATTCCAGAGGATCTAAACACCATTAAAACATGCTCAGTTTTAACAAGATGCCACAGTTGCCAGATGTTTCAGTTTTTATTTACAGCATTTGGAACATTTACACAACAGTATAGTAAGAGTTTATGGAAGTGGACATACTTATACTCCATAGCATGTAGGGCAGTTTTACATCAACAGTGTACAAAATTACATGAGAACAGGTATTTTCTTACAGCCAGTCAGGTTCAAGGATTCCAATCCACAAAAAAAGCTTAATTACATTAAATCAATTGTAGGAAAGGGCAATAATATAAAAAGGGAACTATTCCATTTGCCACCAAAATAAAATATCTGTTGTGACTATTTTTTATAACAGTTAATGACTTGGCTCTAGTGAAGACAAATGCAAAACACTAAATTATAATCTTGCAAGCACAATCCCTCGAAATGTGTTTGCAGGATCGCAGTCTATCTCTATCAGATTTATCTTTTAACATTTTCGACAAAATCAGTGAAAACGGGTTTCAAAAAAATCCTCAGTGTAAAGCCATCAAATGTTTGATGTTTTCACCGTGTTACCCATGCTGGTCCCATCCCATGTTGTGATGCTGGAAGTCTCTTCTGAGGCATGCTCCATCACACTGGATGTTAGTGAGTTGGCAAGTATTCAGTGATGGATTCTCTCTTAGTCTAGCAAGCTACCTGGCACTCAAAGATGGGCTGTTTCTTTGCACTGCCATGCTGCAAAATCTTGCCACAGTCTTTGTGTTCATCATGTAGCTTGTTACACTGGAGGAAGCATTGAAACATTATAATTTATTTGGATTGCATAATATAACACTCTCTCCATAGAGGAAATTAAGTGAGTAAACAAGTGAGTAAATGTTACTGGTATGTTTTGTGTGGACAACGGCTAATTTTTAAATGCTTGTAGTTGATGGAATGCTATTTGTCAATAGTATTTATTTTTCAACTATCTAAATCAGCTTGCTCCTGCATGTTTCAAAGATAGATGGTCCCATTTCTTTTTTCATAGCCTGTTTTTTATGATTGTTTATATGACTTTCTAATCATACTTATATTGAAATCTGGAGATTACTATACAGCTGTCAAAAGGTGTCAAAATAAGATTAAAACATATGGGTAACTTTGTAAATAAACATGTACATAATAGAATAACTGCAATAAATTTAAAAAATAAATTAAAGCAGTGTTCTTTTGTCTGTTCTTGCTAAATTGTGTTTCTATTTTGTCCAGATATGTTGGTGCTATCTGCATGTAACCCCACACAGGTGATTTTTATCATTTTGGCTGACTGGACCTCCTTTCTCGTGTTGGCATGTTGAGTTTGACTGACATCTTCCTGACTCTCCTGTTTACCTAGCTGCACCTGTCATGGCGGGACAAATTACATTACATTTATCATTCTTATTAGTACCTGGAGTCTGGTGACTTATATAGTAATTATCAGCATTGCTCCACACACCTTCAACCTTAGTAGACGTCTGATCAGAATAACTGAAATCACCCGTGTGGGTGTTCAGGGCCTTTACACTTTGTGTCTGTAGACCAAACATTATTTGCCTGTGACACAGACACCGCAGGAGTCAGATGAATGCATTTGGCAAGTAATTACATTTCATTGTTCCCAGTATCCCCATACCCAGCAGATAATCCAAGGGATTAAATGTCTGCTGTCTGGAGAGTCTCCCCACCCTGTTCTCCTTGAGAGATACAACTCCTGATACATCTCCTGTATGAGTGTGTGTGTAATGAGTAACGAGGGAATCACAGTAAATAACACTAATGCTGCACTCTAATGCTGTACTGAGTTGAAGCTTTTAATCATGTTGCATTTCTGCCCTCAACCCAATTAGTGATGCCACTGCTTTGATAGCTAATGGTAACCACCTGCTGTGACATCACTCATCAAGGTGTGGCCACAAGGGGTGGAAATTCTAAATCACTTTACTGATTCGAGTCATTTCATTCACTTCAAAGATTTATAGTCACTGACTACATAGTTTGATGACTTATTTTCTGAGCTAAGCGACCCCGTCTACATATACATATGTGCTCTTCAGTGTGTACATTAATAAGTGAACACATCACTGTTCATACCACCACAATGTTTGACAAATCTGCAGTATGCCAAAAATACCTGGATGTCATACTGATTACGGAAAAAAATCTCAAGTATGCACCAGACCAGTCTACCTCGCGTACTGTGTCACACAATGCGAAGCGCTAGAACAGTCACAACAACTGGGCTTTAAAACTGTAGTTCTTATTTAATCAGGCAACAACCAGTTATTGTTGAAATGGTGAACAGCAACATCCACTGCTCTGTCCCTGATGACTTAATCCTTAATATAAATCATTGTTAGACATAAGTTATGTAAATTGTATTGTTTTCTTATTGACAGCTTAGCAAGCTTAATAAGCATTATGGCTTTGTTATGGGTAGTAGACTAATGCAGCTAGCTATGACATTACGTTCATTACAAAAAGGCTGTAGCCTTGTTCTCCATTCACAAGATTGAATTAGTAAAAAAAAGTTTAAGTGGCCGAAACCGGAAACTGGCTAAGCCTGGCCTAGCATACTGCATAATAAATCAGTCTAACAGTTTCATGCTCCATTCTGAAACTCAGTATGCAGTATGTAGAACATACATATAGGCTACATTTTAGACGGATTTACTTTGCCCCAGTGAGTGAATTTAGTAATTACATTGTAAATTATTGATTTTTCAGTGAGGTTTCACCATTATAAATTTAGGTGTGACCAGGCTATTCTTTAAATCATAAATTGCCCAGTGAAATATCGTTGTATCTAAGGATGATTAATTAAATGGCCTGGAACAGTACTGTCATGATATACACTATGCACAGTAGCTGCTTACAAGCGAAAACATTAACTGAGACAAAACTGCATGAATGTTTTCATGGTATCATGCACTCTTCTTTTGTTTATCTCATCTTAAATTACACTCACCTCTGTTTATGGACATTTTCATTGGCTGGTAAAACAGTGAACATCAACAGTTTCTTGGTTTCTCTTGTGTTTATCTTTCAAAGTCTCTGTCCATTCCTCTGCCTCTTTTACTCCCCGCGAACCTGTTCCCGATCCATTCAACCACTCCCTCCACAACCCCATGGCCAAACACAGTGACCTAGACTCCCAGCCTCCTTTGATCTGAGCGATGTGACCCCTGCGCTCCAGATGCCCCTAGACCGCCAGTCTTATCCTCTCCAAGAGCCAGCACAGCCCACAGAGAGGGCCAGTCATTAACCCCGTACAACCTGGGCCTCCTCTCCACTGCTTAAACACATGATGTATCACAACACCCACCCCTATCAACCCCCCAATTCACCCAAACATGCATGTGTGGGCGAGGACCGATGATGCAATAGGCTCTTTAAACATTTAAAGAACAGGTCAGGTTTTCAAAGGGAAGAGCTGGAACCTTTGGCCACTGCTTCAGTTATCATGGTCAGTGGTTGAAAGTCTGGTGATATGTCAGAAGGAAAACAAATGAATGTCTAATGAATGGAAAGCCTGGATGATGAATGAAACTTCACACTGGTACATTGCTGGTTTATTTGGGTTATGAGTGTATATCTTGGCTCTATCTGGGCTGATAGGGTTAGACAGGATTTAAAGAAGCAATGCTTTTATCTGCTAACTTATTGAATATGATTAAATGTAAGAAAAAGTGCATCTTAGGAGAACTGTTTATTATGATATGTTGACACTTAAATGAGTACAAGCACATTGAAACAGCACCTTAAATCTACATCAAGTATCTTTCAGTAAACCGTACATCTTTTTGTTACTTCAGCAGACAGAAATTAAAACAAGTCATCTCAGAGTAATGATGAGTCATGGCCTCAGTCAACCTTAAATCTGAAACCTAAACAAATCATAGTCTGGGTGCCCCGCATGGCAAAGGAGAAGAGTGCAAGAACAAGAGCATTCCTAGGGGTGGAAAAACAAGGGAGGGGATTACTTTATTAAGATGTACTGAAACACAGATCACCACATATGGATGAGCGCCTCACACAAAGAGGGTTTTCAGAGAATCAAATCCATCTCGTGCAGGAGTCACAAACATCTGTTTGAAAAGTCAAACTGTTGCAACTTTAGGTCTTTCATTAGAAAGTGGGAGCCTCCTTTTGAAAACCCTTTGACAACAAGCTAAGACATCAATGTCAGGGGGCTCTGTCTAACCTTAAAAAGACAAAGAGAGAAAGGGACAAAGAGGTGAGTCCTCCTGATAACCGCAGGGTTGTGCTTCTCCATGAGATTCTAATAAAGAGGCTCCAACCCGGGCCTCAATCGACACAGCATCTGGGGAATCCACATAAGGAGGCAAACGCTAATATTGCTCTTGTTGGCAGATAAAATAAAGTCTAGCACACTTTTCTTGGCACACTCCCAAGGCAGATGTTTGATTCCTGGCCTGAGGCTTCTGGTGAGATGGCAGTGGGGGTCGGTCTGGAATTAAGAGACCTCTCCATCAGATAACACATTTTCTGGTTCATGTAAAGACGTCTAGCATATCAACGGAGACATGCATCACCGTGATGTGAATTCTGCATCTATGCACAGTGGATGGTTTTTGCCTCTGCAGTCGGCAGAGACGTCCTGGGAAGGAGCGCTGAAATGGGAGCACAGACCCTTCCATCTCCCACCATCCAGTCTTTCATCACTACTCCTGGCCAGAGTCCTGGTGAGAGAGTGGGAGGAGAAGGGAAAGGACCGTGACCGTCCTCTGAGGGAGGCAGACAGGGATGTTGCTGTGTTGATAGGGTGAGAACCAGAGAGTGTTTCGGAGCTAGAGAGCAGTGTAAAAGCTGTTAAACCGCGTCCAGTACCAGGGAACTGCTGGCTGTGCTAATTTGCACATGAGTACACTTCTATTTTAAACAA